CCCTTCCCTCAATATCGGAGATGCTCATAAGCGCAACAAAGTTACTGTTTGGCTTTCAGTCAAACCTGTCGGTAAGTTCGTATTATTGACATAATGACCTGGATAAACCCCAGGTACAGACTGTTGACCTAAGTGGAGTATAACAAACTGCAAAATTTTTGGAGAGCCATCCTGGCAGTCTTCCCACCAACCCAGAAACTTGAGCATCCCACACCTGCAGACGCTGGTGAGAGCTGCTGCTAAGTGCTATTTAGTTTAAGCAATCATTAATAAAACAAGTGCAAAATACTAATTAGGTACATTTTATCCATTTCCATGTAAATTGTTTGTTTGTAGATATTTACTCAGCATTGTTCTCGGCACAATAGGAAAAACGCAAATGACTGAATCAGAATGCAGCCCTAATGGGACTTTCTGTTTATAACCATTAGCCCAGAGGTGTGCTGTAATTCAATCCTCAAGCAGCAAGATTTAGCCTCATTAACAGCTTGCATGGGCAGGTTACAACTCATAAAACCCTACAGTAAACAAAGTGTATGGACACAGCACAATATCTCCCCTCTGAGTGACAGAGTCCTGATTCCCTATCAGATTGCCTCGATTTACTTTTCTCCTAATGTCCTCCCTTGGAAAGACAATTCTGCCTGGGCCCCGTGAGTCAGCGGCATGGCACATGGGCTTTGTTTGCTTTCTCACCCTTTAACTTCCCAGAAGGCACAGAGCAACAGTTCTATCAAAAATTTATTTGGTAAAGTACACATTAGAAAGACAACTGGAAAGCTTCCCCCCCCTCCCCGGCTCCTATGCACTATAATGGATCAATTTAATTTGATTTCTAGGCAGACAACTGACACAGCAACCGGTTTTATTTTGACCCACGGTATTGGGTAACATTAATTACACTGAATTTTACATGAAATAAAACTGCTCAAATCTCTAATACTCCTAATTCTTGAGATATAGGAACTTGTGGGTTTGATTTAAATGACTTTCAAGAAGGAATGTGCAAAATTAAGATTCCCATGTGGTTTAACATCAAACAATTTAATCCACTTCAGCACATGTAGTTTAAAATAAGGCCAGTTACATGCTTGTGACAAAAACGGCCTGAACTGAGCAGGCTGAATTCTCCCCTATCCTTTCCTCCCCTCCTCCTGAAAGAGAACTTGTATCCTGAATTATTAGCATAGTCATTAACGTCCCGGGGATCTCCAAGCAAACACAGCTTATGGTGGCTTGTATTTGTGCTGATTAAGCCAATCATCACCAGCGGGTAAGAGAAAAACCAGCCTTATATGCAATTCAGGTATTTGAACCCCTGGTTACCGAGCTTAGCAGAAGAAACACTGGTGAAGAAGCAATGAAACCGAGAACTGAAAAAGTACATAGATTAAGTTTTAAGGTACAGAAAAATTATTAAACAGCATATAAATCTCCTAGAATTTGGAAAGGAAAGCACCTGAGAGAGGTATGGATCACAGGCAAAAATACTAAAGAACCCTCGGGAGACACAAAGAGAAGCACTGCACCAAGAAAAGACCATGCAAACACACATACAGTGATTTTTTTTTCCCCTGTACAGTTGAAGAGAAAACTCAGTAAAATCTTTCACCCTCTGACATGAACCCAACATGCCAAGGAGACATTAAAGTTTGCTCTGTTATTTTCCCCCAACTACTTTGTAATGGTTTAAAGATCTGCCATGCAGATGCACAGTGAGGAAAACTATTTAAGGACAAACTCTTGAAGAATAAGTAATGTAATTCCTTGTTTCCTTCCTATAAAAATGTATTGGTATGCAATTTTTATATTTCACAGTTCACTGATATCTCGGCAAGCTTTCTTCCACTGCTTCAATGGTGCTACTTTTAATTTTATCCTCCTTAGTCCTAGTAATTAAAGTGATCAGCAGTGGCATCCCAACGGCTTTGACACAGCAACAACCCCCTAGCTGACTCCAGCTTTTAAGGAAAAGGGGAAGAAAAAAAGGACGGGAGTTTCATTTCACTGGAACAAGAAAATCAAGCTCCTCCAATCCTCAACTTTATCCAATTGTTCATTCAGCAGCCTTTGGATCTTAAGAAACAAATAAAAATGGCTGCCATTAGGGGGTCCTGTTTGTACTCGCCGCAGACAGCAATGACTGACATTACTTTGGCCAAAAATGATGCCATGGATTTGGGAAGGTGAATTTGAATGTGAAACACTGGCGGGGCAGTTTCCGAGATCATTATCCAGCCAGCTGAGAGCTGACCAACTCAGTAAAATATTGAGTGTGGTGTAGTTTTGCAGCGGAAAAAAATGACTCAAACACCCCCCAGAAAACCATCTCCTTAAATGACTAAAAATTCTGCAATCTTCTTGCATTTTCAAAAAAAAGAAAGGCAAAACCTTTGCCAGGGATTTTTCGTCCTCCTTTTGCAGAATTTTGGGAGGATCCAAACTGAGTTTACACCAGAATCCTGACAACATATCATCCTCTCCCTAGAAAAAAAAATAATCCGGTGAACTGCATTTATTTGATGTTTAAAAAGAAAATTCTTTATGAGGTCCATAGACTGGGAGAAAAAAAAAGGCAAATTAGTTATGCTCCACAGCAACAAAATCAAACCAGAATTGTACCTATGAGGGGGAGTGATTCCTGTAGCTGGAGGTTTCAAAATGGTTCGTGGTCAGCCCCAAGCACACAGTACATCTAAGAGAAAGAACTTGACTGCCACTTCTTTCATCATTAGACAGGAAGAACGGCTCTGTTATTAGCCATTCAGAAAGAAAAAGTCTTCTGTGCTTGTCCAGAGGCAAGGATTACCAAAATGTACCTATTCAGGATTACCAAAATGTACCTATTCAGATAGCAGGAAAGACAGAATAAAAAAAAAATAAAAAAAAATAAAAAAATTTACACGAGCTTTAAAGGTTTGGGCAGGCTGGGTTGTACTGTGACCTTGATTGGTTCTTGTTTGAGTAAATAGGATTTGGGATGAAACATTAAAACTGTTTAGCAGATCTTTTCAAACCATTTCAAACTTTTCTTATGTTGGTTTATAATATAACCAGACATGCTTGTAAATGGCCACACCTGCTCATTCCTCTGGGGATGGCCTGATCTCTGCATTTGCTAACAAAGAAAGGACGGGAGAAAAAAAAATCAGCCTTTCTTGTTGCAAAACAGAGTGGAAAGTCAAAATCTTTCTCAAGTTTGTCCCATCTGGTCAGATTAAATCTTTGATCACCCTGGGGACCACATTTATGTTCGGTCTCTACCACCGTTTCAGAGCAGCTCAAAATACACAGGTAATGAGCAAAATAAGGATCGCTAAGCAGTGAACACTTAACACTGAAGATAAACAAAAGTGGCTTTGGATTTCTAAGGCTAGTCAGACTGTAGGAAGTGGTAAGCAAAGACAGACATAAACATCTTAGGTATTTTCTGCCTTCTGCCTGCCCTTAGCTGCCTTACTATCAATAACCTGAATGTAGCTTGAAAATACTTTTTCATGAATGCGTGTCACAAAAGTATCAAACTGCTTGTCTTAAGCAGTTATTGGCTTACAAGCTGTGGCACTGATGGGCTGAGACAAGATGGAATGAAAAAAAAAAGTAGCCCAAAGTCTAAAACTGGAAGAATCACAATGTCTTAACAAAGCTGTCTGCCTTAAGAAAAAAAAGCTCTCAAATAAACTGGGGTTGTGCATAAAATGGAAATCATCTCCTTAAACAAAGGCGGCATTTTAAAAGAAATAGCCTGCAATTTTTTTTTTTAATTTAAAAAATTTAATTTTTAACATAATCAATGTTGTTCTGGAAAACCTGCAATTTGCGTAGTACAGTATTTCTGGTGTGAAGAATGATGGCTGTAGAAAAACAATCCACTGATAATTTAATTCCTTGTGTCACTGTGAAAC